CATTCTCTGAGTGGGTATCTAGTACCTTTCAACAGAACTAAATTCCTTTTGAAGAATTTGAACATTGATAAGAAGAAAATGAGATTTCTTTATTGTTTCCATCTTACTTGATATTTACAAGCATCACATCCTCATCTCAAAATAACACTGGATTTGGGGGAAGTAGTTAAGGTTGAATTTTTCTCTTCCAATAATATGTCTATCTATACTTTCCGCTTTCCTTTATGAGATAGTCAACATTTATTGTACTGAAATTTGCTTGATTCCAATTATGTGTTGAGTTCTAAGTTTAAAAAAAAATAAACTCATTGAGCATTAGTACAAACAGCGAAACTTACTTAGTGACTGTAATACAGACTAAGTGTAAATATATTATATGTGTGTGTATGTACAAGTGTGTGTATACAAATATATAAATATATTCACACACAAATATATGATCATTTCTTTGTACTGCTCATATTTAGCAGATAATGCTATAACAATATACCATGAAGTTGATACAATATGATTTATTTTAAAATTCTTCTATTGTTGGACACTTAGTTTTTATTTTCAATTACGTAATTTTTTTTAAAGGATAGCTTCCTCCCCCCAATATTTTCAGAATAGAAAGCCAACAACAGAATTATTAGGTCAAAAGGCATGACAATTTTTACTGTAAACTCTCAGAATGCTATAAAAAAAACCTTTACAGGTAGATATTTTCATAGGCAGTGAATAAAAGTATTTTATGTCACTGAGTTTCATTGCTTCTAGTTATTTTTCTCAATCTGGTAGGTATAAGATGGCACCTCAAATTGTTTTAATTTATGTTTTCAATTATTAGGGAAGCTGAACATTTCTTTTTCAAACGAGTATTAGCAATTTGTATTTTTCTTTTGTTAACTGTCCATATCCTTGGATTCTTTATCTGTTGTGGATTGTGACTACTATAACTTTATTTTTATAATTACATAATTTAGATATAAGTTTTTTCTATAATATTTGCTATAAATATTATCCCAATACATTATTGACTCAAAAGTTGCAATCCAGTCTAAGTGATTAGGGGCAAAGAAGTAAACCCTCAAAATTGAAGGCATACTAGGGATTTCTCCAAGAAATGCAAAATTTCAATGCTCACCCATCTTAGTTACTGAATCTCTACTAGAAATAAAAATCTTGTTATGTTAACACCAAAACCAATAAAGTTCAGAACCTCTAAATCTACATTTTCTTTATGTTCTTTTCTCTAAATATCTCATGACCTGACATTATAAGAAGATCTCTGCCCCAGAAATGGTTTGGGTTAGCTAAAATCAATGCTGTCAAACTCAAATAGAAACAGATCCCAACAGCCATAAATTTACTTGGAAAACCACAAATAAACATCATCTATGTTGTAGTGTATTTTTATTTATTTTGTTAAACATTTCTGAATTACATTTTAAACTGGTTCTCCACATAGTTCTGTATAGGATTTGGCTTTGAGTTTGACACCTCTGGCTAAAACTATCTAACCAGGACATTCCCATATTGCTTGATCTGTTATTCAACATTTAAATGGAACAGAAATATTTACTTGTTCATCCATGTTTCCTCAATGAGAGGGCATGAGTACTCCTTTCCATTCTGTAAGGAATTCCATGACTGTTACCGTCAGGATGATGAGGGCAGGTCAGAGAACCTTTAAGAATCAGATTTCAATCCACCTTTTTAAAAATTGACATTATTTCAAATTCTCAAAGGTTTATTTTTCACTCAATTTTCCTAGCTCTTTACATCAAAATGGTATAACTGGGTTGAATGGGTTAGCTACAGTTTTAGGGCTTTGTTTTGTTAATATAGGTTTGTCATTTACTTACTGTATGGTTATGGCCAATTTATAACATTTCTGCATTTCAGTATTTCCATGTATCAAAAAATATTATTTATAATCCAAACAGGGCCACAGAGTCACCCACAGATTGATCACAATGAATTTTACACTTTGTCTTACTCATTTACCTTGAACAGTTGTTCAACTAATGTTTTGTTATTCTAATCATTAAACTGAATTCAATTCATCTATGAAAAATGTCCATGTTTTGTCATTCTAATCATTAAACTGAATTAAATTCATCTATGAAAAATGTCCATGTTTTCCATGGACATTTTCACAGCGTAAATCTGTGAACCCTCTAATTAAGAAAAAAATAAGAAAAGTATGTGTGTATATAGATATATATATAGATAGATATGTATATATCTATATACATATAGATATATACACCTTTCTGAAATGTGAAATGACTATAGCATTCTACCTTTAATTTTCCAACTTATAAGTAATCTAAAAGTATGAGAATGTGCGAGCTGTTAGCTCAGTTCAGAAATATAGTTGGGCAGGTGTTTTGGGGGAAAAAAAAAGATACCAACAGGGGGTGCTAAAGGAGAACGTCAAATTGTTCCCAGATATTTGCAGACCATTACTAAAAAGCAATTTTAAGATCTCAGAAGCTACCCAGTCCAACCTGTTCACTTTACAAATAAGGACATTGAAGCCCATGGAGGTTGACTTGGATAAGGTTATATGGGGTAGTCAGTATCAGAGTCACAGGAAAAGAAAACACTGGCTACTGAATCAGAGAATCTGGGTTCAAATCCTGCTTCTGATGTTGAATATCTGTGTAACCTTATTCAAGTCACACAATCTTCTTGAGCCTTGGGTTCCTTGACCTATAAAATAAAGAGGTGAATAGAAGACCTCTGGAGACCTTTCCAAATTTGTAATCCTATGAACCAGTTACACCTTACATATTTTAATCCTGATTTCCTACAAAGCAAATTCCTCTTCCAAAATATTATTGAAGATTTGTTTTGTTTAGTCACCTGCTCACATCTTAAGAGGGCAACATTCATATTTTTCAAAGAAAACAAAGAAAATAAATAATATCAGTGCCCTCTCTTCAAATCAATTGTGACTAATAACTCCTAACAGAAAGAGCTCCGAATAATTGTAAATGTTTAAATAGAGATAAACCAGTTTCAAAACAGTCATTTGAACTTCATTAACTCACTGAACTTCATTCAATCATTTGAACAAAAACCCTATGCGGGAGGTACCCTCAGGCATTATTATCCTCATTTTATAGATGAGGAAACTGAAGCTCAGCGATGTTTAATGACCTTCCCAGGTGTGGCCACGAGGTTTACAATGAGGAGAGGCTACCCCAGAGGGTCTGGGTTCAATGACCAACTCTGCTTGCTCTGGACTGTTTACCAATCTATGAAATGACAGCATTGGATTAGATGATCTCCAAGGTTCCTTCTTATTCAACATCTGTGATCTAAGCGAGATCTAAACCCAATTCTTCATCAGTCCCAAATCTAACACTTGATTCCTTTTGCCATAAAATCTCTCAGGGAGCAACTAATGTTCTATTTACCAACACCAGGGAGTAATAGCAATGTTAGATATCTTAAAATTGGGACAGATCACAAAATGTGATATTAAATCAACTTAAGTAATTTACCACAATGAATATGACGGAAACAGGAGCCTGGGGAAAGAATACTGGTTTTGGAATTAGAAGGGCCTGATTTCCTATCCCAGTTCTTCCACCACTTGTGATTCTTGAAGAAATCATTTTTGAGCCTCAGTTTCTTCACCTATGAAATGAATGCTTTAGACAAAATGACCTCAATCCACTGTGGGTTTTTCTGTGTTGTCTAAGTGTATAAATTCTGTGTTCACAATATTCTAGCACATGGGGGGGATTGGTGACAACCAAGGTTTCAGCGAATATTTACTTGACTTCACTAAAGAGCAGACTCTTGGCCTAGTTTCCAACCCTATCTTGATTGCATCTGCTCAGGAAATTTAAATTTATTTTCATTTTAATAACACTTTAAAAGATAAACATGTGAGAAATATTTCACAATGATTGTGAAAACAAAAAAGATTTTTTTAAAATTATTTGCTGTTTGGGCATATCTGGTCTCCTTTGGTAGATAATCAAGAGGTAACTGATGACTAGTTTGGTCACTAAAAGAATAATCTAAGCACTTCCCATTCAGATTATAACGACTGAACTGAAAAATCATGTTTACCTCCTCAGAAAAGACTGACTTTTTAATGTCTTGAAAAGCTGAGAAACACTTTGCAAATTAGTTAGAAACAAATGTCAGTTGGTAATACACATTTTTTTCTTATAAATAGTAAACTTGAGGAAGCTCTTTAAATATACTTGTATGTACTATGCATGCAATCGTACTGGCAATGCATTCCAGTCTTGCTCTACAGACCCTCATTTACTTCTGGCCTCAATTACATAAAGCCACTGTGTCTGTTTCCACCCACATCACTCTTTACTTGCATGCACTTACTGCAAATTTCTGCACCATGGCAAATTGCTTTTCTTTGAAGCTGTAAAATCACTTACTTATTCTTATAACATAACTCTTTCACTAAAAGTAAAAGATAATCTTTTCTTGCTTCGGTTGATCTGACATAAATACACTTCTGCTAAACAGATTGCTAAGCTAAACTTACTCTTCAAGTTGAATGAAGATTCAATAATTACAGTGAATATTGTAAATTACAGTCAAAACAACTGTAAAATTACATGATTAAGAACCCATTAAAATGAATACACTAAAAAATGCAGTGTTAAACTATGTTAACCAAAATATATCATCTAAAATTGTCAAAATAAAATTGAATTGTTTTCCATATAACAGGGAATCAACTTGATACTCAAGGCACTGAAGCAGATTTCTTTTTTTAACTGCTAGGGGAAACAGCAAATTTCCTTTCTCTAAATCTCTTTAAAGTTCTTCTAGGAAAGGCTACTTGGAAAGTTCTTTGCTAATACAGAAAGTAGTAAAAATGCATTACTGCTGCAGCAGCAGGGGGCTGGAAACTGGGCACATCTGAACTGGTGTCCTGAACTTTCTCTTTGGAGCTAAAAGCCCTTCAGTGAGATGCTAGCTCAGGAGCTGGGAGAGCTACAACACAGTACGCTTGATCTTCTTACCCCTTGTGTGCATGGACAGCAGGACAAGCAAAGAAAAGTGAACGTGAATCTGCCAGGTTGGGTCTTCCAGCCACCCCATTGCAGCTGAAGAGCAGGGGTCCTGCGTCCCAGCCGGCCAAGCCGCCCGCCCGTCGGCTGCCTTTCACTGATCCTCTTTGGCTGCTGCCACTCTTGTCTGATCTTCCGGCCGGCTAGCCTGCCAGCGAGCCTGAGACGAGAACGGAAAAGACAAGCCTGTTACAAACTGGTTCTGTCACCACCTAGACCTCAATGGATCACCTCGTGAGGAGGATGATAAAGGCTGAAGCAAATTCCCCAGAAAAGAGGACAGGCTGGCTGCCCCCATGCAGAGCTGTGCACACTGGAAGCTTCAGTCTGGCAGGGATTTTAACTGGAGTTTAACTGCTTCTTCAGCTTTCGGTACTGGAAACATCAAGTCTACCCCTCCCCCAATCTTTCATGTAGCTCATGTAGCACATGTAGGGAACCTAAGCATGACCACCTCTCCCCCTCCAAAGCCAGGGAAGAAATTGCCTAGAAATGCTCTCCTTTTGCAGTGTTTATTGGGTGCATGAACTTTGATTCCAGGGAGAGAAATACAAAATTCCTGAGGAAATAATGCTTCCTTACTCTAAATAATAAAAATATAATTGATACCTATTGTTTCAAGATATAGCCCTTTTTGCCTTGGAGAAGAGATTTTTCCTCGTACCTGGAAATATTTAAATGCGAGAGCCAGTGCCTTTAAAACTGCACCGTGACTGACCAAATTCTTTGGTCCTGCATAAAGGTACCTTAAATAATAAAATAATTTCATCAGGAATATTTCTTTTGATTAGGAGTAGTAGATAACATAGTTAAGTCACTTGTTTTAAATGGAAAGCATTAAATGCAATCACCTGAATATAATTGTCCAAACTATAGTACTTGAATAAGAACAGATCCATTATTTTTTGAGATCTGCAACTGTGATTAAATTTCTCAATTATCTAATGACATTTTGGTGTAACTTCATTTTAAATAACACTTACAGGATTTTTTAAACTTTTTAAAAAATCCTTAACTTTGCCAATAAAACATCTGACAAAAAAACAAATGAACAAACTTGTTTTCATTCTTTTACTGGGCACAGTCAATAATAGGAGACCAAGAAATGCAAATAAAATTCAATGTTACCATAGACAAATAGACACAAAGTTATCAGCAAATTTAATCAATTCAATTGGGGAAAGATTTACACAAATTGGGGGGGGAAGCCATACTTCAATTATTAAATCTTCACATTTTCTCTTTACTCCAATATTCACTTCATATTTTATAGTTCACTTGCTTCATACTAGTGTTCTCACGTTTTTAAGAAATTCATCTCCCCCACCACTATACCAATCTAGCTAAATAAATCAATAAATCTGTTCTGCTGAGCTCAATAGCACAACCTCTTAAATGTGATTTTTACAACTACCACCATCATCTTAACACACTCTATTTCTACTCCCAAGGGAACAAATTTAATTAAAATCAAATGTTCACAAGTCAGCCAGGAAATCTACCATTAATACATTCTGACTTAAAGACATCACATTCCATTTCATATATGACAGAAGGTATATACTCACCCTCCAGAAAAAAAAATTTAGAAGGAAAGGATTCTTTAATTACTTAATTTGTCAGCTTGCCTTCCAGCCAGGAAAGGGTTACACTGAAGACCATAATAGATGTAAAAGAATGGGAAAATGGAGTGAAAAAGTCAAATTGCTTTTGAAAGGAGAAAAGATGCACATTCATGAGATGGCCTAGCAATTCCAGCCTATCAGTGACTATAGAACTAAATGAGTAGAAAGCAATTCATGCAGGTCAGAATAAGTGGAAGTGAGAATTATCTAGACCTGGAAGGAAGAGTAAGTTTTGTATAAATGGAGAAGAGGAAAGAAAGTATCCTAAAAGGAGTTGGGGGAGGAAGAGCACAGGCAAAGTTGTGAATATGGAAAGGTCCATGAGGTAGTATACATTCAGGACAGTGAAGAACAACTTAACTGTAGAAATGGTTGAAATTATTATTATATTACTATTGTTGGACATGAATGGAAATGACTGACAGCAATAACACTAGATATTTCAAATGAATGCCCCATAGACATCTCAAACTCAATATATCCCCAAAAAAGAACTCATTATGTTCCTCCCCAAATCCACCTTTCTTCTAGACTTCCTTATTATTGTTCAAGGATGCAAATCTGGGGGATGTTCTTGTTATTCAGTCATATAGTTGTGTCTGACTCTTCGTGATCCTGTGGATCATTCTGTCCATGGGGTTTTCTTGGCAAAGATACTGAAATGGTTTGCCATTTCCTTCTCTGATGGACTAAGGCAAACAGAGGTCATGTGATTTGCCCAGGGTCACACAGCTATTAAGTGTCTGATGTTGGATGTGAATTCAGGTCTTCCTGAGTCTAATTAGGAGAACATTTAGTGCTGAATAGGTAAATCTCAGAATCTTCAGAATATACTTCACAAAGTAATTAAGAGAAAAACACAACATAAATGTAAATTATTTTTATAATATATAGATACATATATATGGATGCACAGACAAGCATACATACATAAAGTATACACCTATATTTGTGTATGTTGTTGTTTTGTATGAATACACTAACTGTATCCCAGAAGTTTTAGTGTAGCTTTAACCTTTAATACTTTAATACTGCACTAAGCCTTTTGGAATATTCTATTATTCTGTATATGTTTATATATGTACATGTTTTCTCCCTGATAGAATTCAAGCTTCATCTTTTAACTGTATCCTCAGTTCCAAGAAAACTGCATAAATGGGTGCTTAACAAATGTTTACTGATTTAGCGTAGATAATAATTTACATTTATATAGTGTTCTCATAACTGCCTTGTGACATAGGCAATACTAGTATTATTTCACTTGGTGGTATCATTAAATCCCATATTTTCTTTCTTTCTTTCTCTCTTTTCTTTTTTTTTTTTTTTTTTTTTTTTTTTGGTGAGGCAATTGGGGTTAAGTGACTTGCCCAGAGTCACACAGCTGGTAAGTGTCAAGTGTCTGAGACTTGATTTGAACTCAGGTCCTCCTAACTCTGGGGCTGGTGCTCTATCTACTGCGCCACCTAGCTGCCCCCTAAATACCACAGTTTCAATGAATAATTGTCAGATCTTATCCAGCAGTCAAAATTTTCCTAACCTCCAGACTTGATCTCCAGCTGACTATTGCACTCAAACTGAATGTATTGTAGATATCATAAACTTAATATGTCTAAAATCAAACATTATCTTTTCCCCAAAATCCTATTTAACTTAATATTCTTAGCATTCAGGCTCAGAATCTCACTTTTGCTTCCCACATTGAATCTGTTGCCAAGGCCTGCTGATGATGTCTTTGCAATTTCTCCCTTCTCTCCTCTCCTACCAATGTAGTACAGGCCCTCGTTATCTTACGTCTAGACAACTGCAGGAGCCTACTGATTGGTCCCTGCTGCAATCAATCCTCCATTCAATTATAGAATTATTTTTTCTAAAGTTCACATCAGGATATGTCACTCTATCACCGCCAGGATCAAATATAAAATTGTCTAGCATTCAAAGCCCTGGCCCTTCGTCTTTTCAGTCCTCTTCCACCTTACAAAGCTCATGTACTCTGTGATCTAGTAACACTGGTCTCCTTGCTGTTATGTGAACAAGACATTATATCTACAGACTCTGAACATTTTCACCGACTATCCCTCATGCCTGGAATAGTTTCCTCCCAAGCTCGGCCTCATTGCTTCCTTCAATTCCCAACTAAAATCTGATCTTCTACAAGAAGCCTGATACTTTCAATGCTAATGCTTTCTCTCCATTGACTATTTCCAATTTATCCTGTATAGATTTTCTTTGTACATAGTATAACAAGAAACTGTGAGCTCCTTCTGGGTAGGGATGTCTTTTGCCTTTCTTTTTATCACCAGAACTTGGCACAGTGACTGGTACACAATAGGTACCTAATAAATTCTTTTTGTCTGAAGCTTACCTACATTTTAGAGACCGTGTTTTTAAAGCTGGAGTATCAGAGAGGTTAAGTGTTTTGCCCAGGGTCACATAAGTAGTAAGTGCTTATCTGGAAATATAAGTTCTTTCTTGATTCCAAATCCAGAGCTGTTTTCCAGACTGGAAATTAGTAGGAAATAATAAGGTTGCGAAACATCTTTCATTCAAAGCTGAAGAGCTGGGAATTTGTCCTGTAGTCAGTGTGCTGTCATTAGAGGATCTTTAACAAGGGGGGTGACATAGTAGAAACAGCATTTTAGTAAGATTATCCTGGCATGAGTTTACAGAATACTTCCGTACGTGTCGAAACCTTAGTACACGGGAAAGAATATGAACTGATGCCCATTAGAAGAAGGAAAAACGGGGGAATTCTTCCAAGTAACTGAACTACTTAGTTATCTCAGGACACTCGTTCAAAAAAATCTTGAGGAAGTGAAAGCATATCCTCAATATATCCCTCTTATCACTCCGTTGTCAAACCAAAGTGGAGCATCACACTGAAAACAGGCATCTTGGCTTCCAAGAGACAGAACCAAGGGGGCAGACTAGAGGAAGGTCTCCAAATATTCCCTCCATCCAACTTTACATAGTTGCTCAAACTGAATTCTGGCATGGCAGAGACAACAAAAGGTAAGCAATTTTTCCAGCCTAAGAGACCAGAAGAAAAGGTCTGTTAACACCAGGGTGGGGCTGGCCTGGAGCCCGTGTGATTGCAATACCAGCTGTGAGCACTGGAGGCAGTAACAGTAGCAGCAAGAGCTTCAGTAGCTCCTAACATGGATGGTAAGAGGATTGGGCAACTGGTCAGAAGAGATTAAAGGCAACCCATGTGATAACACTTGGGTACAAGACCTGGCTCTGTTAGGCAACTCCATTACCTACATCCACATCTAGAGCACAGTTCCAGGGCAAAGAAGAGAGCTTGGAGTCATAAGAAGAAGGGCCCTAAAGAGCAGTATCTCTTCACGGTCCAAGGGAAGAAGGGCCATGAGAAGTGGGGTTGTCTGCAAGTGCCTACAAGAGATCAGGTTCACTTCTGGGTTAAGGACCACAGACAGCAGTGATATCACCTCTCCCTGGAAGCAATGAATACCTCCAAATACCCAGAACTAGCTCAGAAAACAGCAGTGCAAAAAAAGCCTGAAGTCTGGGACAG